GTTCCCATTTGAAATTTTTTCCTTATATTAGTGTACCTTCTACATTCTACTAATATATGTTTTACAGTTCTGGGTACTAGGCAATGTGTGCAAGTTGGAGCTTCTAATCCTCGCAGGAGGTATCCATGGGAAAACTCACAGTGCCCAATTCTTAGCCGACATAGTATCACTTCTTCTCGTCTAGACTTTCTGTTTGATGTGTTCCATTTGATACATTTTGTTTTTATTTCCTGGAGTTTTGCCGAACTCATTTCCCATTCAACGTTCCATTTATTTTGAAAGGAGAAGGCAAGTTGGTGTGTCCAATCTTCTCGAGGAATAGCATCAATTATTGTGGTTTGTGCAGTTTATTGATGCCGAGCAGAGTTGGCTGCAGCATCGGCTCTCTCGTTATCCAGGATACCACAGTGTGATGGTGCCCAGATAAGGACTATGTTTTTATTTTCTTCCTTTAGTTCACCATATATGTTAAAAATTTCTGTTATAACAGGATGCTGGTTCGTTGATTGTTCTATGGCTTCTATTACGGACATTGAATCGGTTACGATAGCATGGTTTTTGAAGTGGTTTGTGCGGATGTGCAAGAGTGCTTCTTTTATGGCCGTGGCTTCTCCCGTAAAAATAGAACATTCTCCTGAAAGTTTGTACAGGAATTCTTCACTGTCTGTAACGACTGAACATCCCACTTGGTTTTCGGCTTTTGATGCATCTGTGTAAAATATTTTGTAATTGTAATATTTGTTTAACAATTCTAAAAAATACGATTTTTTTCATCCGAAACTGGAGTTTTTTTTGAGATGTGGACATATATTTTTCTGTAGAAATATTTGGAGGACTCCACCTTGGAAAGTTTTTATCTGGGAGCTTTTGGATGCAATTTAGGTTCATATTGAATGCTAACGTTGTTTGAATTATATTTCGCTTGAAACTGCTATTGATTGAATAATTATTTGGATGATAGGACTCAAAAATATAAAACCTGATATATCGAGAACCTAATAAACGGAAGAGATACAATTCTCTCTTCTTCTTTTCTTAGTTATCATATCTTTGTATGACTGAAACCATCCAATTAGTAGAATAGAATAGAAATGTATTTGTTCTGGGAGTTGTCCATAAATATACATATTTTTTTACAGATAGTAAATATCAATGGTTTTAACAATCAATGTATATATTACTCTATATAATATTAAAATCAATTTAAAAACTTTATATTAAATAAAAATATCAAGATAAAAAATTATATTTAAAAAAAAATTAAAATAAATAAAGTGGGTTCTATGTAGTGTTGCCCAAAATCGGTCTTGGTCTTGCACTTTGCAATCGATTTTTTAAATAAAAATTAAGGCAAAATATTTACTAATACTCGACAATTTTAGGTACTATATGTTAATAATTGGTATAACCAATTTACTTTTGCATTTAACTCCTCTAATTTTTCATTCGGGCTTAGTTAGATTTCTTCTATCTAAAAAATTACAGTAATATATCTATAATAATAAGCTCATAAGTTACAAACTAAAACACTGTTACGAGACTCTTGCGCAAGAGCAAGACCATGACCAAGACTAAATTTGCAAGACCAAGACTTGTCTCGGTCTCTCATTTGGGCAACACTAGTTCTATGTGAAGGCAGACTGTGCAGTACTATGCAGTACAAAGGTTTGCTTTATATCATTTATTTATTTTCAGATTATATTGAACAAATACATGTAATCACTACTTACTATTAATTAATTACAAAATTTAAAAATACATAGCTCATTATACACAGGGTATTAGTATACTTCAAATTTAACTAATTTCATAAAAAAAAAAAAAGATGCGTTGTCGAATAAGATGCTTGCAATGCTCAAAAATATTGGCGAAACTTCATAAACTTTGCATAGAAGAATGTAACAGTATCATACGATTGCAGGAATATTAGCACAGAAGAGGCTAACACTGGATTAGTTCAGCACCTCAAAGTATCAAAACATGATTTTGATTTGGATAATTTCCAACTGTTACAGAAAGAAAAGAATAGTTGTAAGATAAACATATTTGAGACTATTCATATTTCACAGAAGTTAGATAAAATAGGTTAGAAAATTAGAACAAGATAAAACGTCATAAACTAGATAAAACATTCTTAAATCGAAATTAGATCTATTCTTTGCTGTAAAACCATTTACAGTGAACTTTCGAGCGTTTATATAACGCTAAGTTTTATTTTTCGTATTAATCATGAATTATTCCCAAATTTTTACATCAGCCTCCCGCCTTAATTAGCTTTAGGCACTCTTGCGCTAAATTGATGTTTATTTCAGAATAAGTTTGGTTTTGTAAAAAAAATGGGAGGGGTGGCTCAATGAATAAGGCGCTGACTTCCAATGCTCAAGGTTTCGGGTTCAAATTCGGTAAATAATTATATATGCTGTTACATCAGCCATGGGTCGATGTTCGGCTAAGGAGTCCCTTCTTGGTCACACCCAGCCCCTATTAGACGGTACCCAACAAAGATTTTACGATACCGCGTTTTTTTTTTTAATACTATATTTGCCCTGTGTTGTTTTGATATTTAAGCAGTATTTTATTACCCTTTTTGTTATTTTATAGTCAGTAAATCAGACAGTGTTTTTTTTCATAATATTTTTTGTGGAAGCAATAGAGGATGGGGAGCTTTTTAATTTTGTATCCTTGACACTCAAGTAGGTAAAAAAATGTGTGACATACTTTGCGATTTTTTCTGCATCCCTATTTCAATACCAAATCGCATCAGAACAGGAATGATTTTTCCGGTTCTTAGTGTTTTTCTTTAGGAGAACAGCCATTGAAAACATGAATTGTTCTTCTTTTGACTATTTTTTGTTCTTAATTTACAGTTCAGCTTCTTATCTGGAACTTTGTCTCTACTTAAAAGTGCCCTGACCATATAGTTTTCGGGTGTCTAATTGAAGTTCATACCTAGATTTTTGTGAGTGCAAAGTTAGTTTTTCTCCATGATGTAGCTTATGAATATAGCTGGTATGTCAGTCTTGGTGCTGGGATTAGATTAACCTCTGATTGTATTAAATAAATACTCCCTTCTTTCACCGGCTCTTTGAATATTTCAACCAATTCTATGTATATACTCCAATGAGGTTACAATAATAATTTTAAAAAACTATGAAACTGGGGGGATGATCATAGTAAGCTATTTAGCTTGACTTAAATTATTAATATTATTTGATACTTATTCTGCAAAGTTTCTATTTCGTTTTAGTTGGAATATCAAGGAGGAGGAATAATAAGAAATAAAGTTAGAGGGGAGTCGGTGACAGGTAACAAACCATGACTTACCGACTTCTTGTCCATATAATTCTCCGACTAATCCTGCTAAAGACCAGGGTAAAGTCCTGGGTGTGTTTTTGTTCTAGGGAGCTTGATCAGTTTTGGCTAGACTTGAATTTTTTTTTTTTTTTTATTAACCTTTCAACGTCCTTTTTTACATAGTTTGGTGAATCACTTCTTGGCTTTTCCTTTTTCCTGAACAGCTATTACATCCTTAGTTGCTTCTTAATTCCTTGCAGTGTCGGAGTATTTGAATACATTATTTACCTCGATTTGAAATTAATCTTTAACTTCAGTATATTTAAAATTATCGATTTCATACTTTATTTATTCTTTCCCCTTGTTCCTCTATTTTATATATTTTCTGCTGGCTTTGACATAGTTAATTCTAATTAGCATTACAGTCTGATTCACCATAGCATGTAATGTCTTAAATGAAACTATATATATATTCTCTTGCCATACTCATAGAGTAGCTCTGTAAAAGCGCCATATATTTTTTTGTGTAGATACATCAAGTCTAAAGCATAATACATCATATAGGATATAATATTCATAAGTCCGAAGAGAGATGTTTTTTATATAAGGTATATAAAAAACGAAATACAGTTACTCTTCCAAAATTTTCTTTTATTAATAAGTGTGCGACGTTTTAGGATCCACTTTAATATCACATCTTCAGTCTGTCTATCATCCTTTCATCATGTAACTTATTAAAAAACTTGTCAATTCTTTTCTTATTATAAATTATCGTTTGGTTTTTTAAAAATTTTGTTGATTAAGACACTTATAAGATCGGCATTAATTTTTTTATAAGAAAATGGAAGAAAAATAATACCATAAAGAATCGAAAGATGAAATTATCCTGGTAAATACCAGAGTAATGTCTTGGGTGTGTTATTGTCCCTGGTAGCTCGATAATTTTGGCTAGACTTGCATTTTTTTTCATCTTTCAACCTCCTTTTTACATGGTTTGGTGAACCATAAAATGATAAATAAAACATCCTGTCTCAGCATGTCCCTCTATCTTTGCCGGTCCATCGCTTCCTCCTTTGACATGTCTTTACCACCAACCTCTCCTTCCATTAAACTAGGGATTTTCCTCCTTCTAACCTCCAATTCCTTCGATTCTATTTCCTCCTAATCCATTATTACATTGGTATCCTATTATCATTCATTCCTGTATGTATCTCTCATTCACATCAAACAATATCTCTCGGTGATTATTGGTTAATTCCTAAACATGTCTAGTAGTGTTGCCCAAAATCGGTGTTGGTCTTGCACTTTGCAAGACCAACACCGCCTAACTGTTGCAAGACCAAGATGAAGACTGTTAAAGAAAAAAAACATTTTTTTTTTTTTTAGTAAAATTAAGGCAAAATAGTTACTAATACTTGACAGTTTTAGTTTATACGTGTAAAGATTTGGTATTACCAATATATTTTTGGTTTTAACTCTTCTAATTTTTCATTCCGGCCTAGTTAGATTTTTTCTTTCTAAAAAATCAGAGTAATATCTATACAGTAATAAGCTAATAGTTAAGTGCTAGACTGAATGCGCAAGACCAAGACTCGTCTTCAGTGTTGCGCACACAGAATTTGGGCAACACTAATATTTAGATATTAAATATGCATGTGTAAGTATTATTTACAATTTCAAGCGAATACTTTGATTTTAGTAGCGTGATGGATTTTTCTGACCCTAGGTCCCAAGACATGGTCCTTCCTCTGGAAGACTCCGGCAAAGGTGAAGTCACTGGAGAACTTTACATCACCGCATCATTGCTGCCAAAGAGCCAGGAAGACAAGGAATTGGTAAGTCCTCAAAATACTCATTTTGCACCTGTAATTTATATTGAACCTGGCATGGCCAATCTTATCTATTTAGCGTTATCTCCACTTCATCCGGCTCTGTTGTCGGTAGTTTTGCTTCAAGTGCTTAGTCGCGCTAATCCAACTCCGAGCCGGTTTCGTTTGTGAAAAATCTTTCATCCGTAACAGCCGATGAACATTGTCGCGATTCGAAATCTTTCCTATCGATGATAAGCATATTGGATTTTTCTGATGTAGTGTATAAGTTTGTTTCTGATTCGTGTAGTGTATTATGTCGACAGAAATGGTGTCGGACGAGGATGTTCCATGCGACAAAGAACCGACTGTATATAGTTCGAATATGCTATATATGGTCTTCAAAGTAAGTATAACGTTTATAAAAACTTAAAAAATATGAAAAAGAACACAAATGAAATATTTAAAAATAAATATATTCCTTCCTTTTCTTTTTTTTTTTCTTTTTAATGAACGGTACTTGGATTGAACATTTACATTTAGTGAGGTTATAAACGTAATTAAATTGCTCTTCATTTATGATAAAAATATTGGAAGTGAATTTCGAGTTAATATATCATCTTGAACATTTATTTATAGGAATCACTGAAAAAAAAAGAAATTTGCATACATTTTTACATATCTCATTAAAGGTAAGATAAGAGCTGAATTTCTATAATTTATCGAAATTGATCTTAAAAATCTGATTGAATATTTTACAACTTAATACGGATTTGGATTTGTTTAAATAATGTAAATTAGAAATGTATAGTAATGGATCATTAATTCAATTAGCAATCCAACTTCCAATCATGTAATTAACAATTGAAGGAAGCGATTCTGTTAATGGAACATATTTAAAAATTAATCAATTGATTGCATTGATTGTTTTAGCTAGATATGATGTGGTGTTCGTTTACGATTCAATCTATCCAAATTAAATTTTTACTAACTCTATATGCGTCAAAAATTCTTTCCGTCTCATTCGGTGTTTATTATTGAAAATATAATAAAAATTGTGTTTCGAGCTATTTGAAATAAATCATTAGCTGGTAACGGCATTTGATAAAATATGTCGAATCGAAGTTAAAAGGATATTCAATGCTAACGGGGTAGGGCCTTAGTTCAAATGCATGATTAATCAATGGCAACATCATATCAGGTTGTACCTTTCACTTAATGGAATTATTTAGCTCATTAAAGCTAAACTCGGTTTTAGCTCATTGAACGGGTACTAGACAGCAGATTTGTTGACTCATATCAAGTTTCTGATGCCTTCAACAATCACTCTCTACCACTGGCGGATCATGGATTTATTTTTGTTTTTTTTTGGGGGGGGAGGGGCTTCAGCCCGAATCCTTTTTTTCGTTTATATAACGATAATTATTTGGAAAAAAAAAAAAGAAAGATACTAACTACCTATATGAAATGGTGTTCAAGTGATTCTTGAAGTCCTGTTAAATGTAATAACATGAGGTAATTTTTTAATATTTTTTGCTCTAAAAAATGGTTAAATTTTACCATTTGGGGGGTGGACTTCAGCCCGAAATCATCCCCTCCTCCCCGTAGAATCCACCTGTGATCTCTAGTAATTAACCGATCCAAACAGTTCTTTCACCTGAGCGGTTATAAATCAATCCAGGAAAAAAAATGGTAGCTGTTTTTAGAGTGATTTAGTGAAATTTACTCAAAACCAAATTTTCGTATTTTGTTTTTTTTACTATATTGATCGGACAATAATGAAGAGAAACATGTGTTCGGTCATACAATGTATACATATTAAAACTGAATAATTAAAAATTAATACAATAAAATAAAATAAAATTTAAGAAATAATAGTACATAAGAATAATAATATAAACATTAACAATAATACGATAAAATGAAAATGGTCCATGTGCAGTTCAGAAATAAATTATATAGATCCAAACCAGAACTCCAGGAGATCACAGTGCTTCTAACATAGCCGTTTCACTGGTGTTAGAAGCTAGCGGAGACCGGGCGAAATCAATAGGAACATATAAGCTCTGGAGTATTTTCTAAATAGAAAAAAATGTTTTTAATTATATTCGTTGAAATATTATTTATTACTTCAATTTGAATTACAATTCAGTGGAAATCTCATTTCTTTTTTTTTTTTTTAATATTACCATTAAGGCTTTATCAATAATTAATTTTTTTTTTTTTAGAACTTGTTTATTGAGAAATATTACAATCTGTCTTAAAGGATATTTATAATAGTGCTCAGAGATCACATTCACACTCTATGTGCAATAAATAAAAATAAATTAAACAAAAAATAATATAATAATACTACTTGCCCCCTCACCATTTCCCAACCAGGTCAGCAAATTTCCCTAAAGGTATTTACTTAGGTTTTCCAGGTTTAAGTCAAACTCCTTGCTGAACACACTTGTTAGTCTCTATTTTTATTCTTCTAATTTTATTTACTTATTGTTTTGGTTTTCTTTTCTTTCTCTGCTTCCCTTTATATCCATTATTTCATATTATATCCTTTTTCTTTTTCTTTCAATCTCTCCTGTAGGTCTGTAGGACTTTATTCACAATTGCATATATTATATTATATATTATACAACAATTGTTACCATCTATTTACTTCAGTTTGGAATCTTGTTACTTAGCTTACTTTCTTTATATTTTAATGTACTTAATGTTTATAATTTTAATAAGTTTATTCAGATTGTTTGTAATTTTTTGTCTAAATATTATGTGACTTCTACAATTATCTATATCTTTTTGTATCTTGTCCGTTCTAGCCCTGAAGAAGACCTGCAGAGTCGGGTCGAAACTTTAGCTTTTAATAAAATAGTTTCGCCACTATTTAGTCTATTTATGACAGCCACCCCGGACCATCTCCTTCCTTAAAAACAAAAACATATACACTAATAAATAAAAAATAAACTCTATTATTCAGAAACTTTATTTGGGATCGATTGGATATTTGTTTTACATGTTGACTGTGTACCATAATTTAAAAGAAATAAAATAGTACGAAATCTTAATACTATAAAATATTTCCAAATTAGAAATTTGATTTGTTTTATTGTATCAGTTGTCGGTTACTCGATGATGCTATAAAATTCTTTAATATATTTTTGAAATGTAACGTTGTATTTCAAATCGCTAAATTCCTCTAATTTCGTCAGTACTATTTACTACTATATGTATTATCGAATGTGAAAGTGATAACTAATGTTTAGTAGTCTAATTATCATACCAGAAAAGTTGCAAAAATAAATAAATTAAAAATAAATTGCTGCTCTCTCTGTTTTTTTATGAGCCTAAATTGAGAGAAACCGTTTCATTGCAGTGTGGTGACTACCAATTTAGGCCATTATTTAAAGCCGAATCCGAAGTGTCGCTTATATCGCGGACGATAAATTTCAGGTGTTTGCTTGAAAGGAAGATGCACTTCATGATTTTATGGATGTCGTAAATCCGTTCATTATTTGCAAGGTTTTTTTTTATGAGGCGTAAGTATGTGCCTGCAATAACCGTTAAAGGGTGTTAGGAAACGAAAGTACCACTATCTGACCTTATGGTAGTATTAAATAATGGCGTAAATAACGCCCACGGAAACTTCGGAGGGAGGAGCCCCCCTAGGCCCAAGAGACCAAGAGAAATCGAGCAAAAGAACGAACCAACTCGAGAGTGTGATTTGAATTATGGGGGAAGGTAGAGGGGGGTGGGAGTTTTTCCTTTTCAACTGAGAATCATGATGAAAAATACAATCCTAAATGTTCTTGAAGTTCTGAGCATCGAGCAGAATGTGCCCGAGCTCTCGAAACAGGTGTAACTGAGGACTGCACTTCTCTACCCTTTCAGACTAAGCAACCAATTTTATCCTTATTTCTTATGCTCAATTTAACCTCGCAACATTCTTCAACTCACTCATAAACATACTAGTCAATGCATAAATTAAAATAAGTAAACGAATAATGCTTCAATTATATATATATATGTTCTATTATATATATATAAATGTCTATGCACCACACCCAAATGCGTCGCATCCGTTTCTTTATCGTTATCTACATTATATGCTGTTGAAATAAAGAGGTAGACAAATTTTCTCATTAAATGAAAAGACGTGGGCTTAAGGGTAGAAGACCTTAGCAAAAAGTATTTTAATTATTTTTTTAAAATAGAGTATTTCAAATACCAAATATTATGCATTTTAAAAATATATTGTATTTTAATTACTAATAGTATTTAAGATGTTTTCAAAAAATGTCAAATACAAAATATCACAATTATTTTGTATTTTAATTATACAAAAACAAAATACACTTACAGGCAAAAAATTCCACCCACTTGTTACCCATTAAGGAACCACGTTGGAAAGGTTGGCTCTGGGAAAAATTACAGGCTGCATATCTTTCGTTTCTTCTTCTCCACACCCTTTCACGCCCGTCTGGACATCGAACAGCGAATCTTGACTCATTTGTAAAAAGTACAGCACTCCATTCGTCCATAGTCCAATGGCTGTGTTCTCGAGCAAAAGCCAGCCGTGTTACTCTGTGAGTTCTGGTCAACTCTGGTCCTCTTAATGGACGAAAAGCCATTAATCCATACTCATTTAATCTTCCGATATATGATCTTGAATAATCCGAGCGGTACGTTCAGAAATTTGCACTCCTCGAACTTCTTCGAGCTGATGAATCGCTTGAACAACGGTAAGGAGCCGGTTTCGTAAAATTCTCAAAATCAAAAACCGGTCATCCCATGGTTCTGTTACCCTAGGCCGTCCAGAACCGGGCCTTCTATTGTAAGAACCAGTTTCCCGAAAACGCCTGACGGCCTCTCGTAAAGTTTTATATGGAACTCCGATGGCATTAGCTGCATATCTAATGGAACGTCCATCATCAATAAGTGCCACACCACGCGCAACATCCTCAGCACTAAGAGGCATTTTTAAACTTAATATTGAAAAAAATAAAAGCCGGAGACTAAGAAATGTGCTGCGAGAAACGGCACTGAACTAATGATACTGAATAAACATTTTGATTCCATAGAAAGTAAACATTGGAATCTAGAATCATTTCATTGAATTACGGGGTTATTGTCCATTCATAATTGAAAACAAACAAAAAGATTACCTATTTATTCATTAAAAACAATAGACCAATCCA